TCCCACTTCCATTCCTCCATCTTAGAGATAGAGCTGTTATTTTCTCAGGAGAACTGTGAGGATTCTTCTCCTGACATATTCTGTAATTGTTTATTATAATTTTCATTATATGCCGCAGTGAAGTAGTCAGATGTTCATAATTAATCCTGTATTTCTACATTTCACAGGAAACATTTTTGTAAGCAATTATATTTCTGCACAATATGCTTCTGAGTTAAAAAAGAAGGGGGGAAAAGTAAATGTTACACTCCCTCCAAATACAAGGAGACAAATCTAAAAAAAAAAAAAAAGAAGGATTAAATTTCCCTTGGATTTTCCTTACATTATTATAAATTTTTTAAGCTCTTATCCCAAAAATGTCTGGGAAACAACCTGTTAGATCAGATTATCTGTTGCCTCTAACTGGCATCCTTTTAAGAACAACATTTGAGTGAGGGAACAGTTAAACTGGCAGAGGTTGACCTAGTCTTTATCCTGTAAAATCTAGTCAGCTTGTTCAGTGCATAGCACTACTGCTAAAAAGTGCAAGCATCATTGAGAAAATACAGCCCTCAGTGAATTGTCACAAAAGCAGATGATGGTCATAATGCATTACATTGCCCTAAAGGCTGTGGCCATCTTTGGCTAAGCACTGATTTCTTATTTACAAAATCATCTATTCCTTTAATGTAGAAGTAGAATCTGCAGGATCCATCTGTCCAAAATAATCTGCTAAATTTGGTTTAAATCAACTGCAAGAGGTTTGGAAAAAGGAAACTCATATTTTGTTCTTCTGTTTTGCAGAGTTATTTCTGAATGATGAAGAACTAAAAAAACTGTATGAGTTTGAAGAAGAGTGTGTAGTAGAGTACTTCCAGGAAAAGGAGGATGAGCAGCAGTCATCTAATGATGAACGCATCAGAGTTACCTCTGAAAGGTACCTATTATAAGAAAAAACCCACACCACTTACCTGGAAAAATATTTGCTTTTTTGTGTCTTCATTATAACCAAACTTGAGTTAAGGTACAAAAGATTTAGATCTTGAAGAAAATTACCACCAAATCAGAAGATGATCTGAATCCTGAGTAAATACCAGTGCGGGTGCATCTCTCACAAGAGCAAGTTTTTTGTTGCTCCTACTGGTGTGTCACTAAAGGTCACTGGTTTTTGCAATTTTAGTATAAGAACATTCTGTCCATGGTGAATTTTTTCCCTCTCAGATCACAGTTAGTTAGGCTCTTTATCTGTTTGAGCAAATTACCACTTGTTGAGCTTCCAACACTCATCCAACCATGAGAAACGTGTTGCAGCTTAATGACAAAAGCACTGAGGATTCTTCCCTTGTACCTATGGTTTGCATTAGGGTCCAGCACTCACAACCACTGAATTTTAATCTCTGCCATAGATTCTCTTGGAAGCCTTGAACAGGGCATTTATCTTTTCAGTATGAACTTCCCCATTTAAAAGACAGGGAATATTCACATGTAAATCATTACGCTATTCTGAAGACTAGATAATGTTCACATAGTGCTGTGTAAGCACACAGTGATGATGGCAGCACCAGTTTTTTACCAGGTCACTTGGCAGCACTGTTCCCAAAGGCTCTGCCTATTCTGTGAGCAATTCTAAGTCAAAGGATGAGATTTTTTGTCACTTCTTTGACATGATGAAAAATTCTTCCTATAACAAAAATTATACACTCTTTCATCTTGGTCTACCTCACAGTAGATGAGCTACTCCATATATTTTCTCCACACATTTTTTATGAAGTAGCTCTGTGAGCCATGTCATTATTGAAAGGATAAGCATCTTTCTCTTGAAGGGAGGCCCTGAATGTCTTACATTATTATATGCAAAGTTTGAGAATAGAGAGGCTAATGAAATCTGCTACATGTATTCGAGTAGCTTCTATCACACTATTTATCCATGGCAATTTGTCAAAATCCTAGGTATTGTAGCAGAGAATAAAGCAGGGCTTGTTAAGCCTCAGTGATTCACTATGGTCTGTGGCCACAAAGCTGATTTGCTTATTTCTCCTGGCTTCTTGCTCCAGATGCTTCATCATCTTTTGTGTGTGTGAGCAAAAGAACGTTAATTTATTTCCACAGTTGATTTACTAGTGTATTCTAATGCATTACTTTTATATGCATTCTTCTGGTACCATAACTTCCATTATGATACAAATGATAAAAGAAAGTTGAAAAATATTATTTTATTTGAACTAGACAGTAATTCCACGCCCTTCAGCTGATACATAACTGAAAGTTACTTAGAGAGCTAAAGCAAGCCCATACACAGCAGTGTATGTTCTCTCTCATACAGCTGGAAAACCTGTTTTAAAACATTCCTTGATGCTACTTTAAACCAGCCTGTGAGCATGTCATTAGGAAGTATTTTTTATATAATTAATCCATGTTTCACAGTGAAAGAGGACAACTGAACTTGAAATGGCTGGCACACTCAGAAATGTTAATAGCTGTCCCTAAGGGCTGCAACTCTTGTGCTCTCCTGGCACATAAATAAGGGCAAAGTTCAAGCAGCCCTCTAGTGTGGTGTGTGGAGAGCACAGATCAGGAGAAGATGCACATACTTTTGATGCTCCACATAGGAAAAAAGAATGATGATACACATCTCTGTGTTTGTAGTACAAACTATGCCTTATGAAGAGATCAGTAGCCGTGTGCTTATAATGGGTAACTGCACCATTCCAGAACTTCTGTTCTGTGCTTCCTCTTTTGTACCCAACAGGGTTGAAAATATGTCTATGAGGCTAGAAGAAGTGAATGAGAGAGAACATTTTATGAAGGCTTCTCTTCAAACAGTTGACCTTCGACTCTCTCAATTGGAAGAACTATCTGGTCGGATGGTGAATGCTCTTGAGAAGCTGGCAGGCGTTGACAAATCTGAGTTGACATACACAAGGTCACGGGCTTCCTCTGAGTGTGATGCTGCATATCTCCTAAGGCAAAGCAGTGTTAACAGCTCTGATGGCTACAGCATGTACCGGTACCATGTCGGTGGCGATGAGCTAATGTATGATGACAGCACCGCTCCTATGTCACCAGCCATGGGATTGCGTAAAATAGCCCATTCTATTGGTACAAAAGAAGATGGGGCAGACCCGAGGATGCTGGTTCCAGAACACCATGCCAGTCTCCAGTATATCTCTACTGCTACAGCAGATGACAGCAAATCTACATTAGAAATTGCACAGAATGATTCCAGACCCCGTTCTGGTTCAGGTGGCTTTGGGGATGAAAAGCAGGGGATTTTTGAGAGTGATGTAATGGTTCCTCAAAGTATAAACCAGATGGATGCTGTTACGAACAGTCAGTCAGTACCAAGACAAGATTTTCTGAACAGTCGGTTAAAAGTAGAACATACCAAATTAGAAGCAGCCATCTCTTATCCCTTGGACAAACCTAAAGCAATGCGCTACTTTCCTCCTGAAACATTCAGTACTTGTCAAACCACTATGATGAAGTCAAGGAGCTTTATATTTGCACAGAGTGGGAAGCTGGTTGGAGGAGTTAACAACTGGACTGCAGAATATAGTACCATCATGGATCAAGTAGGCCCTTCTACAATTGAAAAATGGGCCAATGAGTGGAAATACGAAGTTGAACAGCAGCTTTCTCAGGAACGTCCTCCGGAATACCCTGGTTTGGTCTCTGAAGCAGAAAGGCAAGCAGAGCAGAAACAGGTACAGATGGAAACAGATGATGACAGTGACGTTGGTGAAGCAGGTATGAGTGCGTCTTATACCTCTATGCCTGCCACTGTCAAGGCTGAGAAAGAGAATTTACTCTCAGTAAAGCCAGAAAGGACTTCAGGGTTCCCATCAGTACGGTCAAAGAGTTTGCACAGCCATTCTAGAAAAGCCAAGTCTGTAAAGGACAAATTAAAAAGACCAGGACATGCCAGCAGTGTAACTAATTTGGTGGTGGCATTTGGCAGTCCAACAGAAGAACAGAAAGCTAGGCAAGAAAATGCATCCACAGAAACGGAATGTTAAGGTGGTTTATGGACCCTGTTTTATCAACAGTCAAGAAAGCAGCATGCCTGATTGAACAAATGATGGATTTTAGAATTAATTTCTAAAGAAGAATTTTGCATATATTTGTTTCTTTTCATTTAAAACTTGATATATGTTCTGGTTTCAAATAAATGCTTGCTGGGTCAGGTGAAAGGGAGATGGGGGCAGCTAAAAACTAGGCACAGTCTACAGATGCCAACAGTACAGATGTTTCTTTGTTCCACTTCAGCCTTCCTCATAAACTCATTTACTGACAAGCTCTTTATAAAAGCGATCAAAAGAAGGACAATATTATCATGTAATTATTTAGAAAATATTTTTTCTTCTTTTTTGTCAGAAGACTTCGTAAACTGAACACATTTTTAACCAGACTTAGTTTCTATCTTTACTTATGCAGCTGGTTTCTTTGTGGCCATTGTGTTTTTCAGGTCAAAACAAAATTGTTGGAGGCAAGGAAAAATTATGCAGTCCCCTCTTTCACTTCTGATTTCATGCATGCTTCTTAGCTCCTCTTTCAGAAAGGTGCAACATTATGGTTTTCTTCCACTCAAATAGGTCTGAGTGGAAAACTACAGTTGTGTTTGGAGAAACCCAACCCAAAAAGCCACAACATATTCTTGACCTGTCATTGAACTTGAGTGACATAATCTTGCTTTCAGGATAATGTCTGTCCCCACCCCAAAGCATGCTGACAGCCTTAAACTGTACAAAGCCAGTGATCCTTGTTTCAAAATGTTTAGGGAGATTTTAAGTATATTAAGTATATAGAGATTTTAATAATCTTAATCCAAGATCTGCATTAGTTTTTTATGTAAATGTGGATAGCAGTAGAAGTCCCTGTAAAGAATCTTTTTTCTTTTTCTTTTTTTTTTAAATGCCTGCAAGGGAAAACGAAACAAAACAAAACAGGAAAGATGTTCAGATCAGTGAGATAAAAATGAAGCAAATCTGTGACCAATTCATCTTTCATTTTGCAATTTCATGATGACGACGTATGAAGAACAAGGAACAGTTTCTAGGAGTCAGTCAAAAAATAAATTTTCCAGATTAAAATAAAAATTCCATATATTTTTTCAGCATATTTCAAAATCAATAGTCAAAGGAAAAAAAAAAAGAACACTGGAAGTGTTTACTACTCCTCAGTGATTAAGATCCACCCCTATAGTTACATCTTGCAGGCACACTTGTCTCAACAGTGGCATTCTAAGCAGTAGGTCTGAATAGTTTTCTTCATAACAGTATGGTGTCATTTCCCTCATTCTTCTCTTACCTTGTAGGAAGTTTGTTTTCTGAAGTACTCGGCACCTCTTTGTGGGGAATGGGTAGCATTGAACAGACAAGAAAGAAAATGAATTAAAGGCATGTTACTTGTCCACAGAGTAGCGGTCAAAAGCTTATTGCTTAACTCATTAACCATCAGGACTTGTCCATATGCTATTTTAAAAAGAGTTTCTTCCTCCACCATCAACTCTATGGTTTGTAGGTCTCAGTATCCCCCTTGGTCATGCTGCTTACAGCATTTTGAAATGCAGAGGTTGATGGAAGACTCTACAAATGTATTGATGGCATCAGCTTTTTATTGTTTGTGTTATATGTTCATACCCCATCCATACTTACACCTTAAAGTACTGTTACCATACTGAGCCATCATGATAACTGCACAGACATTTCTGAAAGCTCAGTCATCATTTACTATGGACTTTTGCTAGTTTGGTGTCATTAGCAGGTTTACTGGTTTCACTGTTGTCAGAACACTGTTGACACTTTGCTTTTCATGCTTCTCTTTTATTCAACATCAGGGAAGTTGACACTTTGTAAAAACAGAAAGAAATTGTTTCACTTCCATGTTTACTTCTGTGTTACCATGCTGTACAACTACATAGCCATTTTGTATGTGTGGTTAAAATAGCTTCCAGTTTGCCAATGCCTTTTTATTGTTTGCCTGCACACACACCAGAAACGGATTCATTAACAAACACAAAGGGACACAGCTTTTCAGCACTTTGCTCAACAAGCAGTATGCATTGTGGAACAAAATAGTGTGTTGCATACCTCTTCTTACATTGTCTTTATAAAATGTGTGTTCAATCATGCTCTGTTTGACCAGATATTTTTTTTAGCATTTACATTACAAATTTATCAGCATATAGATTTTAAACATAAACACTTTACCTTTATATTAATTTACTTTGTATAAAAATATTTATAAAGAAACATATGAAAAAGAAGTGAAATTAATTCAGAATAACAAATTGCTCACTACACTGTTATCAAAACACTTTACCTAGATCTTTTTTCCTGTGCAGTTCATCGACTGACACAAATTACTGCTTTTTTACATTGCTTCATTCTGAGACTAGCTTGGCTTTGCTCTTGCAAGCCCCTCCTCTTGCAGAGTCACTCTTCCCATTTGAGATGCTGGATTTTGATCCCCAAGAACTAAGAAAGTCTATTTTCCATATTATTTAGTAATGAATTAAAGTAGCTTTTGAAACCTTCCGACTATGGTTTCTCTATATGCCTTTTCTGGATGCTTTCCTAGGTTCTGGGTTTGACTGTCATCTTTGGCAAAATGTATATCTGTCCTTCTAAATAAAAAATTGAATAATAGAAGTATCTGTAAGGCTTTGTCAGAAAACAGGATGTCAGCAGTTTTATTTCATTAGGTCTGCAAGATCCATAGGATTGTGCCCTGTCGTGGTGTTCTGGGTAGTTAACCCCCTGACACAAAGCTGGTTTGCTGCCAAGCAAAAGGAGGAGGTGAGTTTCCAGAGTGTCAGCAGCACTTGGACATGTTGCTGGGGTCCCACCTAGTAGTGCCATGGCCAGCATATCACTTCTACACCACTGTCCTGTCTGACTGGTCACTTCTAGTTGTCCTAGAGTTACACACAAAAGCTTGTTATGAAAAAAAGGTGACACACCTTGTATGTGAAGTCAGGAATATATGGTTAGTGTAACATTTTACCAGTCTAATATATTAATTATTATTAGTCTAGATCTAATTACAAGAGAGGAGAGACAAGAAGAGAGGAGAGCAAAGAATACTCTACACTACTACAGGAAAAAAACAAGAAGGTAAAATTGATATATGCACACTGCCTACTATCTAGCTATTTTGTTTTGTTGTGGGTTTTTTGTTTTGTTTTGTTTTCTCACACTTGCAATGATCATCTAGGCCTGATCCTCAGTGGCTGCAATGGGCCTAGTGACCAAATATTGCCAGCTGTCAGCATCTCAGGGCCTTCACTAGGATGAGCATGATGTTCATGTTCTTGGTTTCTTTTTCCTTATTTTTTGCTTACTTTTATGTTTGCTACCAACTTTACATCTTGTTTTTCTTAATTGGCTTTCAAATCCTAGAATTACACCTGGATTTTCTAGTAATCAGAAAAATTGCTGTCACAGCTAAACAAATGAAGGCACAGCCTGAGATAGGTTAAGACAAGTTCAGACAAAGCAATCCTGACAAGCCTGAGGCCTTACAAAGTCAGCATAAAGCCTGTGGCCTGTTACTAGCAGTGACAATACTCTGTTTACTGGCCTATGAGGCTCCATTAGTCCCAGAGGTGTTTTCCTTTCACTACAGTCACTGCAGATAATGCATGCAGTGGTCACCTGAGCTAATTGTGGCTTTTGATCCCTTATTGGCATCCAGCATCACAGAAAAGCAAAATGGATGGAAGGACCTGGTTGGCATGGTCATTTAATGCCCATTTCAACTGGTGCCAGAGTCCAGGAGGGTTGAGGTAGTCAAAAAACAGTTCACAGCAAGAGGTTGGATTCCAGGCTGACAAAACATAAGCCTTGGGAGAAGTGAGACAGTAACTTAAAATACAACATTTCCTTAAAACTACAACCTTTTTTTGCTTTTTTCAACTTTTAGCCTTACTGCAGAAACAAAATTTGATATGGCAAAGTGCTGCTTTGTGATTGGTGTCCTGTATCTTTACAATGGATGTAAGGTATGTCTTGATAATAGGCTTTAAATTATTCAGCCAAAATACTTAAGTGTCGGTATCCACCTTGTGCCTGATGTTAAAGATAATGAAAAAGGAGATGCATAATTTCATGTGCCTGCTCCTTTTTTGTCTCTACAACATTAAAAGCCCTATGAAACTGCAGTGCTTCATCCTGCTTGTTTCTAGAAGCGCTAATTGGAGTTATGTTCAGCAAGCTATTACCTGAGCAGACCAACAGCCTTCAAAAGTAGCCATGAAAACAAGATTGGATTCTGTTTTAGGGGCACTGGTTATCTGATAATTATTATCACAATACCTCTGTAAAATAGCCCAAACCAAAGTGGAACATTGTACCATTCAACTGCTCCAAATAACTCTAGGGAAGTAGTACCTACATAATGATTAACGAGAAAAGTAGCCCTCTGTAACAGCAAAGTTCAAGATCATTAAATCTCCACATTGAGATATTGCCTCTACTTCACAAACGTGCCTTCAAAAGGACACATTCTTTCTGAGTTACCTCAAGAAACTAAAACATTGGCATAGATTTTATCTCATGTATATTTTTGGCCAAATCCTTCAAAGTTGCGGTTTTATGTAAATAATCATCTTTTAAATATTATTCTGCTGGATCTTCATCAAGGACACTCAGGAAAGAGATTTTTCTTTTTCCAATTGCTTAATAAATTTAAGGCACAGTGTTTTTTCTTCTATAAGAGGCAATGCAGACCTGGGGGGCTGGCTTCCTCACAAGTCCCCAGCTCAAGTCCCACGCTTCAGAGTGCAGGCTGAGGCAGCTGGGGTGTGCAGACTGTTGAGTGCACAAGTAGAAGATGTTCAGGTATAGTGATAAACTGTAATGCCCTGAGTGAAAAACAGAACAGACTTTCATCAGTGAATTCTGACTTTGCAGACTTGCCACATACTTGCTGTATCTCTGGGCACATAGCTCAGCTGTGAAATCAGACAACACGTATGTCTTTGTGTCTTGGAATTCAAACAAATGAACCATTCTTTGGAAAGCTATGAAAACACATGAGTTGCTATAGAAATACAGGCCTGGAAGAGATCATCTACACTAGAGACAAGTTCAGCAACGTTGATAGCATCAGTGGCAGATGGTGGTCTAACCTGTTCTTGAACATCTCTAATGAAAGCCATTCTTTAATCTGCTGAGAGATCAAAAGGGACCATTATGAAAATCTGTTCTGATTTAACCCCAGCCCTCATGTATTGCACAAGCCAAAGCACTTCTGCAGCCACAGAGCTGTCTTATGAGGTTGTACTAGAACTTTTAGGAAGAAAATGCGCCGTGCAGTAAATACAGCAGGTTGTACACCGTAGCCATAGCTAAGCAGATCATTATCTTCACTGTTACAATTTGCAGCGTATGCAAAAAGAGGCCCTAGGGGACTGCCATGCAGCATGTGGGATGTGGTAGCACCAGGAGAGCAGGCCAAGCTGGTTCTGTGAGGGCCATGACAGTGGATAAATGTAGAGGTCCTGGTCAGTCTAGCACACAGGAGATATCACTGAACAGCTTAATGTTGAGGCAAGGAAAATAACTGCACTGAGTAAAAAATTACGTTATTTTAAATTAATGAGAATTAAAACAAGCATCTGCAGTCTTTACAGTTCAGCTGTCTTTGTTGCACAGCTGGCTGCCCACTGGTCTGTCAAAGACTGTTCTCACAGAACAAAGGCATTCTCAGAAACCCCTGGTTTAGCAAGTGAGGCAAGCAGGATGGCTGGAGATGGGCAGGCACTGAGTGCACTGCCAAGAAGGTGTCAGTGGATCCAGAGGATTTCCCTTCCTGTCCTGCCTGCCCTACCCTGCCAGCTACCCATCCTGCCTGCCTACCCTGCCCTACTTACCTGTCCTGCTCTGCCTGCCTGCACTGCCTGGTTTGTATCCCACTGCAAGTTGTGGCAGGATTAACTTGCTCCTCCAAAATACTCACTTCTGTCAAATCAACTTTCTCCTCTCACTGGCACAGAAACTCAGCCAGTGGCAACTTATGTGATCTTATGTTTATGGAGACCTTAGGTTTGATTTTGTCTGTTTTCAGAACAGCCCTGAATTTTTTCCTTAATGGAAATTTGTGCTATCCTGTCCTCATTCCCTCAAGAGTAAGAATGCATTTGCATCCAATTCTCAGAAATCTCTGTGATGATGCAGAAACTCTTGTAATTTTGCTGTAGTATAAATAACTGTCTTTTTTTTTTTAATCACTGGCAGTTTTGTTATATGCAATTGCAAGCCTAGCTGATTTGGGCAGTTTCTGCCCTCCTTGCCCCCTTGCTTTCTCTTCCTACTATTCTGATTTTTGTTTCCTTTCAACAATGTTCTGAATATGAACAGAAAACTTCAAAGAAGAACAAAGATGAGGGCAAGTCCCACAGTATTTCTCACTTACGAAATATCCAAGGGATTTAGCTTGTGAAAGGGGAAAGTCACCAGCAGGACAGGAGCTGTGGCTTGCTCTCACAGCACTGTTGGGTACTCAGCATTACACCACCAGCTAATCCTGCAACACAGTGCACTCTGAAATGATGAATGCTGCATGGACAATGATGTCTGCAGCATAAAATAAAAATCTTGTATGTGAAAATACAGGATAAAATGAAGGGAACTGTCTGCCAACACCAAATAAGACAGGACTCTTGTGCAAGGAGGTGCACTCAGTTTAAAAATACTACACAATGGGATTGTTTTTATCTTTTCCACCTGCAAGTCCAAAGTAGTGTATTGTTACGGAAGTGCTTGCTGGCACTCTCCCCTGGGCTGTTGAAGAGCATCAGCTGTATGCATGGATACTTCAAGCTAGGCAAGTGCCAGTAGGTTGGTTCCCTCCTCACTGGCCAAACAAATCTCCCTGCTGGCATCAATGGGACATCTCATCTAAGTTGGGGAATCCAGATTGTGCCCTCAAGTGTGTTCTTTCATTGAACATCTACCCTCTGACTTGGCAAAAAAAATCCCTGGGTCTATAATGCAATGTACTGTGCTTCCTATTAATGATAGTAGGGGAAGACCTTGACCCTGCAGCTGATGCTGGGTGCTGCATGTGCCATTTTGTGTCTAAAGATGTGTCCCTTTCTTTACTGTCCTTGTCATGTTGATTACAATCCTGCTGTGCTGTAGCAGGCCTTTACATGTGAGCTGTTACAGAAAAATGACAGTGTGCTGACTAATGCCATGCTTTTTTCTAAGGTGAGGCTACAGTGCACTAATCCCAGCATTTAGTTTGGCACATCCTGTGCCTTCAACTCTTGCCCCTAAACCACGGGCCTTTCAGTGAACTACTCTTGGCTGAACTATCACTGTGGTGCACCAGCTGTTTGGGGATCACCAGGAGGCACAGGAACCACCAGCCTTTCTTACCCTGCCTGATGCATCAGACCTGGCTCCAAACTCTGGAGAGGCCTGGCTGGTTTCACCATATTCTTTGGTGCTTGGACCACCAGCAGGAGAACCCCGGCCCTTCCCCTTCCTTAGGTCTCACAGCTGATGGGCCTCTGTGTTCCCATTCTGGAGCTCTTCATTAAAACCCCATTTCCACCCAAACTGTTGCTGCTTCTAGGTCTTTCCATTGCAGTGTCCAAGTTCATTGCAGTCAGTGCTCCCATAAACACCTGCAACACGGACCTTTAAGGGTGCAAAGGCCACCAAAAGAATGTGAGTAGTTACTCGGGTTTCCTACTTGTTAAAACAACAGCAGTGTTAGACCTTGGCAGTTCAGCAGTGGTTGGTTCACGCTGGATTTTCACTGCTGATCTGAGATAAGGCTCGGTCACAATAAAAACCTGTCGTTGCAGGCTTGGTGTGGAGGTTTCAGCCTCCGAGTGGCTCAGAGGTCAGCTGCGGAAACCCTTTGCTTAGGTGCTCCCGTTGCTGTTCCCTCCCGGAGGCCGGGGAGCGGGATCGCTTCCTCGCCGCTCGCCCAGGGCTGCCCCGGGGAGGCTCCGCCCCCAGCCGAGGTCGACAGGGCATCGGTGAGGGTCGGGAACCTCCACCGGCTGTCAGTCTGGTCAGAAATAACAGTTCTGCCGTTACAGGCAGCTCCCACATAAAAATGGACAAAACGCTCCGTTCTCGGCTACCAGCGCGATCCGCGGCCGCTTGGGCCCTCCGCGCCGCCGTACGGAGGCCGCTTCCCTCCCTAAGATGGCCGCCCCGGCAG